CTTTGCATTGATTTTTAAAATTAAATGTACATTAGACTGTAATTCCTGTTTCTAGGTCCTCCTTATTGTGCACTCTCCTCCTATGGCAGGGACTGTCTTATCACCGTCGAGTTCTAGACCTGAGGCCCTGAACCTAACTGTCCCTTATACCTGGGCTCCTGAGCATTAAAGAGAAAAAACCAACATGATATAGAAAAATGTTAGTTACATGCAAACAAGTGGTTAGAATAAGATGGAACTCGGAGACATTGTAGAAATTAGGTCTACCTTTCATCTACCTTTCATCTAGTGCCAATATTCCACCTTTGTGTGGAAATTACCGAAAAATCGGTACAGCGGTCTGGTAGGGTTAAAAGGGATTATATATAAGAATATATAATCTTGTATTTAAGGCAAACAAGCAAGCACACAAACAAACCAAAACCATGAAGAGGAAAGTGCATATACAAAGGCAGCAGCAAGGCTTGAAGCTGGGGACTCTTTTGTACCTTTTATCTGTGTACTTGACATTGTGGATCCAACCTCCTTGAGAGGATGGAATACATTTTATAGGGATACCAGAGGCCCGGTGCATGAAATGTGTGCACTCAGGGGGTGTCCCTCAGCCCGGCCTGCACCCTTTTGCAGTCCCATAGCCCTTGGGGATATCCGACTGCTGGCTTAGGCCTGCTCCCCATTAGGAAGCGGGCCTAAGCCATCAGTTAGACATCCTTAGCACTGCCCTGGAGGCGGAAGAGGCTCCTTCCATGGCCGCTGTGCTCACCAGCCATGAACCTGGCTTCTGGCTGAGCGGTACTCCCCCTGTGGGAACACACTGACCACCAGTCCTGCATCGAGTGTCTGCCCCCTGGTGGTCAGTGCACATCATAGCGACTGGTCATTCTGCCATTCGGTCAGTATGCATTATTAGCCTTTTAATATATAGAACTAGAGGCCCGGTGCACAAAAATTTGTTCACTGGCGGGGGGGGGGGGGATGCCCCTCAGCCCCACTTGTGCCCTCTCATAGTCTGGGACCCCTCGGGAGATAACGACCTGCTGGCTTAGGCCTGCTCCCGGTTGGCAGAGGGCAGGCCCAATCCCTAGGTGCAGCCCCTGGTCTGGCTCAGAGCAGGGCCGATTGGGGAGTTGGGGCACCGCCCCCTGTCACGCTGATCCAGGGGCCAGGAGGCCTTGCGGCTCTGCTGATCCCCGTGCTGGGAGGCATATTACCCTTTTACTATATAGGATAGAGGCCTGGTGCACAGGTGGGGGCCGGCTGGTTTGCCCTGAAGGGTGGCCTGGATCAGGGGGGGGGGCCCGCTTGGGGGCCTGGGCAGTCTGGGTGAGGGGGTGATGGCTGTTTGCAGCTGGTCACACCCCCTTCAGGGTGGGGGTCCCCACTGGGGTGCCTGGCCAGTCTGGGTGAGGGGCTGAGGGCCGTTTTCAGGCTGGTAGATGACTGAAACTCCTTTTTTTCTTTTTCTTTTTTTTATTCTGGGATTTATTTACCTTCTAGTGCTGTCACTGGAACTGAGAACCAGTTTTCTCTCTGAGGCTCGGCTCCAGCTCTGAGACCTCGGCTGCTGAAAGCAGGTACTGGTTTGTTTGGGTTCTATAATTGAAACACTGTTTTTAGCTTCTATAACTGTAACAATGTTTCTTAGAGTGCAAGCTCAGAGTCCTGCAGCGGCAGGCGGAGAATGTTGGCTTCCTCCGTCACTGAAGCAAGCAAGCCTCCTGTTTGCTTCAAGCTGCCTGGCTGCTGGCCGCCATCTTGGTTGGCAGTTAATTTGCATATCTCGCTGATTAGCCAATGGGAAGGGTAATGAAGTTATGGTTAATTACCATGTTTCTCTATTATTAGATAGGATTAGGAGACATAAATGAAGATGCTTTTGGATTGCATTTCATATTCAGAGTATTGATTACATGTTTTTTACCTATAAAAATAAGATAGAAATTCTTGTTAAAATATCGTGGTATTCTTCAACAAGATGTGTATAACTCAAGCAAAACTTTTTATTTTTTTAAGAGAATAAATCCGAACCAGTTTTTCTGGTGGCATTAAAATAAAATGATAGACACAAAAGCCTCAACAGTTTTCTACCTATGTTTCAATAAGCACAGAGAAATCCTTCCCATACACATGAATTATTCCCTAAGACGTGGAGGAACTGAAAGGTAACACTCATTTCCAACTATTGGTTCCATTCTTTCAGAGGTCAGGGCTGTGGACCACTATTAAGAGCTAGTTTAGGAATGAAGGCAATCTTTTTTGTTTGTTTGTTTTGTTAATCCTCACCATTGTCCCATTGATTTTTAGAGAGTGGAAGGGCGGGAAAGAGACACACAGAGAGAAACATCGATGTGAGAGAGACACATCGATTGGCTGCCTCTCACACACATGGCAACCTGGGGCCAGGGATCAAGCCTGAAACTGAAGTATGTACCCTTGACTGGAATCGAACCTGAGACCCTTCAGTGTCCAGGCCAATGTTCTATCTACTGAGCAAAAATGGCTAGGGCTGAAGGCAATCTTTGTGCACATTGAACACTTAGACACCTTGCAGTAAACTGACACTTTTTTTTATCATCTAATTTGATTTGACAGTTGAAATTGCTATTTAGCTGAGACATTTCTGCATTAATAATTCTTGAACTGGGCAGCTTATGTGAAAAAGTGCTAAAGCAATCATTTTTCTTCTCTGGTGAGTTTTACATGAATAGAAAGAGATAATACAAGTTAAATCCATTTTCTAATACTTTTGAATAATGTTGACCTTACAGAAATCTAATTATAAAATACATTTATGACCCATAATGAACCTATTAGGAAGCTTTAACACAGATAAAGATATGAAAGTAATTTCTTTCAAATAAGACCTACAAAGTTTACAAAAATAAATATGCCATTGGCTAAATTAATATATTACATCTTTTTAAAAATATATATTTTTATTGATTTCAGGAAGGAAGGAAGAGGGAGAGAAAAAAAACTATTAATGACCTGTGCCACCTGCCTGCCTGCTGGATTACCCCTAACCACTCTGTCTGCCTACCTCATTGCCCCTAACCACTTGCCTGCCTGCCTCATTGCCACTAACTGCCTCTGCCTCAGCCCCTGCTGCTGCGGCTTCATCTGGAAGGACATCCAGAAGGTCATTCGGCTCTCTGGTCTAATTAGCATATTACTTTTTAAAATTATAGATGAGAAAGAATCATTGATTCGCTGCTTCCTGCATGCCTCCTACTGGGTATGGAGCCTGCAACCCAAGCATGTGCCCTGACAGGGATTCAAACCTTGACTTCCTGGTTCATAGGTCAATGCTCAACCACTGAGCTACACTGGCCAGGCACATTACATCTTTATAGTGTTTTTAGATTTCATGTATATTTATTCCCTTACCTATAAATAATCCTATAAGATAGATAATATTATGACTTCTACTTTATAGATAAGGAAATTTAGATGAAGGTTTTTGGGGGCTAATATTAAAAGAGATGATACTTTCTCCCAGATGTTATTATTGCCTCAAGTTATTATGGCTCACTTATCATTCATGAAGCGCTTAGACCTGACTTACTAAGGCAGAAACCCAAACCAGTGTAATCCAAAAAGAAGGGAATTCATTGGTTCCCATAACTAGAAAAACCAGTGCGGCTAAAGGTAGACAGAATCAAACTCCACGTTGCTGAGATTTATTGTTTCTTCCTTTCCGTCAGCCCCTCTCTGTGTGTGGCCCTGATCTCCCCCTTCAACAAATGGGCTTCCTCCACATGTCCAGGAAGGCAAGTATCAACAGTGTCAACATGATTTCTTCCCAACACCCAGATTACAAATTCCCAGGGCAATCTTCTTCATTTGCTTCAATTGAAAGCCATGGGGCCGAACTTAGGTCACCTGCCAATGTTTGACCTATATCTTAAGAGCAGAGGTGTAGGGAGCTCTGATTAGCTCATGTAGAACCTCTGTCCCCCATGTGTGAAATGGGGACAGAGCACATGATTGACCACATGTGATGGGAGAGGTTAATAAGGGTCTCCTTATACTGGGATAGAAACAAGTAGACAAGCTGCTTAAGGGGCCAGATTAGAATCTCTAGAAATAGATATATGTTCATACAAGAGTTTATTACAGGATTTTTCTGGAAATTCAAATAGGTGAGGAGAATAAAGTATTTAATAGTAAATGCGAAAACTGAGTAGATCCTTAGCTCAGTATTTGTTGAATGTAATAAAAAGAATAAATGAAATGAATGAATGAGTGAATGAATGGAAAAGTCAGTGTTAGAGTCTCAGTGCTGCCACTTATTGCTCTGGGGATCTTGGAGCTATAAGTGGTTACCTATATCTCATAACTTCCACCTTCATTTCAATTCTTCATTGTTGGATGATTAAAGGAGCTCTTAAAACCAAAGAAGCTCCAATGGTATTAGCACAGAACACAAATCTACACTAATAAAAGAGAAAAATGGTAATTGGTGTATGACGCTACCCTTTTCATTGGCTAATCAGGGCTATATGCAAATTAACTGCCAACTCAGATGGCAGTTAACTGACAACAAAGATGGCAGTTAATTTGCATATGTAGGCACAATGCAGGGAGGCAAAAGGGAAAA